CTTACTCATATATATTTCATTCTTACATCAATGCTACCTAAAAGAACTGTTAAAGTTGTTGGTTGCCTTTTATTTGTAGCTAATTCTTAACTATAAGCTGCCAACCACACATTTTTTTTTCTTTTCAAAGACAACACCTCTTTCCTCACATCTTGATAAAGAGTATTTTCTTAATAATAGTACTTCTTTTTTTTTTTTTTTTTTTTGGTACTGGGGATCAAGCTTGGGACCTTTCGCTTGTGAGGCAGGCACCAGAATCACTGAGCTAAATCCCTGGCCCCATTAATAGTATTTCTTTTATTAGCCCTCTCCTCTAAGCTCAGGAATGAAAATGATGGTAATCATTAGGACTATTTTCCTAACCCAATCAGAAACTTCCCTGTTCTCATCTGCTAGAATCTGTCAATGATTGAAGACTCACTTTCTCTAAAGATCCATCTATTCTGATGACGAAAAAACTCCAAAAGTAAGTTTGCTCAAAATTTTGTTAAAAGAGTGTGGATCAAGATCTGACTGTTATCTTAATGCAGACCCCCTGTGAATGTATATGACAGAGTCTATCCTCCATAGTCAGGATAGATCCTAATACCAGAGGCAGGATGGTAGAAGAAAGTCTTTAATTTTGGGGGAAAAAAAAGGTTCAAACCCTGGCTCTTCCATGTTTCTTATCATCTATATAATTTTGCACAAGTTACCTAACTTTTGAAGTCTTGAGGTTTAGATATACTGTGTCTCAAGTTGTTGTGATGCTTGAATAAGTCCCATGAATGGAAAGCATCAAACAAGAAGATTCACAGTAGCAGGTGTTCAATAAATGTTTGTTGTGCCCACTGCACATGCTGGTGTAATTTAGTAAGATTTTTTAAAAATAATGTTTGAATATTCTAGGTGCGTAAAAGATGGGTTCATAGATGTAAAATTGAAATTGTTCTGGAGACTGCAGTGATCTTAGTATAAGCCAGAGGGAAAGAGAACGCCTATTCCAAGTCTGCAGTTAACAGATAAGAATGTGACATGAAAGAAACCAGTACTTTTTTCTACCCTCATTTAGACCCCTTATCTTCTGTGATTAAGGAATGGAGCAGAAGATGGAAAGTGAAAAAAATATGCCAGGGCACACTTAGCAAGGTCACATAAAGATTCCACTCATCCCGAAAAGATGGTGACAGAGACTCTTCCATTTAAGCTGACGTAACAAATTAAGGCGGAATATGTCTTTAAAGACCTTGAACAAGTATTTTTCCACGGTGACTAATATTTGAACTCTCTAAAGTTTCTTGCTTATTTTTAACCACCACACAGGCCCAGTCATATGGGCTCCCTGATGTGTCCCTGAAGGCTGGAACCCAGCTGTGGGTGAGACTTTTCAACTCAACTTTAAAAGCCAGGGTCACACTAAATCCACATAAAAGGTGTGCCGTGTAAGAATTACATAGTTGTAAAATGTGTTGCTCTTGAATTTATTTCAATAGGATATCTCTATAAATGGCCATAAACACAATTATTGTACTTAAACTATTACTCTTGAGTCCAACTGTGTAAAATGTTTTGCGCTTTCTTTAAAAATAGGGTATTTTCCAGCTACCTAATTGTGGAGATTTAGGTCTAAAATGTTCTCCATGTCTCATGTGTTCAGTGGTGGGCTTTCAGGAGATGTTTGGATCCTGAGACACCAGGCCCAGAGCTGAATGTGCTATTAGGGACAGGAGCCTGGTGGGAAGAGGTGTGTCACTGGGGTGGGTGGCCTGAATGTATTCTTGTCCCCCATTATAGCTTACTTAGAGCAACAGTGTTCACAGAGTCCTTAAGCTCTCATAGGTGGTAATACAGCTGACTTGCTGCTAGGAGGTGGGTTCTGGTCGGGAGAGGCAGGTCTCTCTCCTCTGACATGATCCGGGAGGGTAGATCTTCCTTCCTGGCTCCTCCTTTCTCTGCTTTCTAGCTGCCGTGACATGAACAGCTTTTTCTCTAGCCAGCCCCTTCCACTATGCCATTTCTGTTGAAGTCTGCCGGACATAGACTGAAACTTTTGAAACTGTGAGCCAAAAATGTATCTCTCCTCTAAGTTACAGATATCAGGTACTTAGCTCCAGCAATGGGAAATCTAACTAACACATTGAGAGAAAGAATTGTAGATATGTAATAATTACCTCTTGGTGAATATATAAAATGTTTATATCACTCATTCTTTCCTTACCTGTTGAAGAAATGATAGCATAACTGGTCCATCTTAGAAATTAGTTAATCTATTCAGAGAAGAGCATTGAGTATCAATTTCATCACTTAAAATGTATTTGCATTCACTTGACAGTAATACAGAAACAAGAAATGATGCTTGTCTTCCCAGTAGTGGAAGTAGTAGTACTCTGTCTAATGACGGAAATAGTCTTTCCCAGACCCTCAACAATGACAAGATGGGAAATGAATCAGCCAGACAAGCACCTGACTCAAGGGAACAGGCTTCGGAGAGAACTTAGCAGGATGGAAGTTCAGGCATTGTATTGTTCTGTTTTCTGCTGCTATTAACAAGATAATTGAGAATGGGTACTTTTTTTTTTTTTTTTAAATTAGCTTTCAGTTTGGGGAGGATGGAAGTCCAAGATCTAGCAGCTTCATCTGTTCTGCCTTTGGTGAGGGCTCCCTGGGCTCCATCACAGCATGGCCTAGGACATCATGGCCAGAGCACCTATGAAAGGGAGATCACATGGAAGACAAGAAGCCAGAGACCATGGAGGGCCCAGTGTGGCTCTTTTATGACAATCACTCTTGCAGGAACTCAGCACAGCATATATTCTGCCCCTCTGAGGGCAGAACCCCAAATGACCTAATCGCTTCCTGTGAGGCTCCACCCCTTAAAGGTTACACCCCCTCTCGGTGCCATAACATCAGGACTCCAGTCTCCAGCAATGAACCCTTGAGTTCACACCATATCCAAACCATTCCAGGTACCATCTGCAAGCTGTGCAGCTGCAGCAGGCAGCTGGCCCTAAAGTCCAGCAGCACCTGGTAAGCAGATGCTCCTTTTCTTCCCAGCAAGCCCCCCCAGGCTGAGGTTCACATCAAGATGATTCTCCAAGTAAGGGGATAATCTGGTCCAAAACAACCAATCTCTAGCTGTGACCAGTAGGCTTAATTCCCTGAGGAGCTGTCACAAAACAGCCACCCTGAGGGACCCTCCAGTTGCTACTGTGATGTGCACACATTTAGGGGGGGTGCGGGACTGACCTTGTGCTCTTCAGGCAGCCCCAGGAGCCTCTTCGTCATTTCCTCACATCTCCATCCAGACGTAAAATTAGCCATGTAACGTCTGCCTCTCATTTTGTCTTAAATAATTTCTGCTTAGTGATTTCAGGGATATTCTCAATTTTACCTGTCTGATCCTGACATGTGAAAATTTCAGAGCAGCTCTATCCACCGTGAAATCAACCTTTATTTGCACCTATGAAACTTCCATTTCAGAAAAAAAAGGGCAGAGGGCAGAGAATAATCTACTCTCAGAATAGGACCCCCACGTCACACACCAGACATCAGCCATGGATAATGGTGAAATTATGACTAGCCTTAAGGCATTTTATATTATATGTGAAACACAAGTAATTTTTTTGAGAAGGGACTCCTTACATTGCCCAGGCTGGTCTTAAAATCCTAGCCTCAAGCAATTCTTTTGCCTCAGCCTGCTGAGTAGCTGGGACTACAGGTACCACGCCCCCTCCTGGCCTCCCTAAGTGATTTTAACCAGTTTCCTGGCCTTTAGAAAGACAGGCTGGTTAGTAATTCAACGATGTGTGTACGTTTCAGAAAAGGAAAGGTACATTCCATTTCTCTTCATTCTCAACATTCGATTGAATAATGTCTTGAGTTATGTATATTGCTATGATAGTGATTTGGGGGAATTAAAAACAACTTAAAAATCTTTAAAAATAACTAGAATCCAGGAGGCACTAGATGTGTGAAGTTTAAAAATTTTTGTTCTTCAATACATCTAGAGGTGGCAAACGGGATCAGCGGCCAGAAGGATCAGTGTGCTAGTCTCCTATCATGCCTGCAACGGAATATTGTCTAAAAAGATGGCACTTGCAATATGGCAAATGTTGCTCATTGTATTTGAGACAGAACAAGTTGTGACATTTGCAACTGATTTTAGAGCGATCACTGTTTGAATGCTGGCTACTATACCTATTTTAACCTACCAGGTATGATGTAATGGACTAAGTCTAATAAATTTTAATAGACTTGAACAGGTATACAGTTCTTAGATATAGAAGTTATGGTATTCTATGGAATTAATTAAATCAGATAGTATATACTCGTTCTTAGATAAAATACATGAGCACCCTTGATATGTATTCCGAGAGAGAATAGAGATAAATAGCCACTGCAATGGTTTATAATTTGCCATACTTGTTTAAATGTTTTGATGAGTTGAGTCCAATTGAAACTGAGTAAAAATAGCTAAGTGGGACCACAAAGTCCAATGGGGAAAGAGTCTTCAAACTTGGGAGTTCTCATGGTTCGGTTTTATTTCCCATCTCTGTGTAGTGCCATTCGACACCAGCTTCACCCTACGACTGGCTTTAGTGATGACTGTGTGCTATCAGTAGCAATAGAAGTCAAATGCTTCCTCTTCCATATGAAGGGACACTGCATTCCTCATCACTCCAATGTAGAATCCAGTGTGTGTCCATGACCAGATCAGCTTATGTCCTATGTCCTTCACTGATGTTTGTGTTCAAGGAAATGATGGCTTATGTCAATGGTCTCTTCCAATGACAAGGCTGATCTGGAGCTAGGAATGAATTTGTTTTCCCACAAGGCCATAAATTATTTGGAAGATGAGTAGATACCAGCGGGAAAATTGGGGGAAAGGAAGAATGAATACTGATGTTCACTACATAAACACTTGATCTTAAAGACCATGGTAGTATATACTGGAAATCACTATTACACTAATAAGAAAATAATTCTGAGATTATAACGGAATAACAACAACAACAGCAAAATTTCAAGGCCAGTATGTTTCTTTTTTATTATTATCTTTGTGTCTGACTTAAGATTGTTGAATGGTTTCATTTTCATTTTATAAGCATTACATTAATTCCCATGCAAAAATCCAAGACCACATATGCCTGATTTCAATGGCCATAATCCCACAGCTCTGACCCTGACATTCAAGAATAAAACCAATATATTGGTTGACTTCCCCATTAGCAGATATCATGGGCGTCCTTTGGGAGATCGGCAGGCCCCTTGACCCCTTGATCACCACATTTGCCTCGAGTCCATACCAAAACATGGAGCCAATGCCTTGCAGTACCTAAACCTGGTAATTTTCATCCATGAAGACAGGATGGTTTTATTCCAATGGTGCCACCCACAGAAATTTCCTGGTTCTTGCTCTGAAGTAAACCCTGCATTTGAGCAGCCATGGTATCTTTTATTTGGGGATAATAATTTTTTCCTGCCAGTTATCCTCAAAAGCTCAGGAGAAGTAAAGAGCCTTTATTAAAAAGCTTATCTCGGGCCAGAGATTTAGCTCAGTGGTTCCGGCACCTGCCTCACAAGCGCAAGGTCCCGAGTTCGATCCCCAGTACCAAAAAAAAATTTATCTCTAGAACCCCAAAAGAAATAAATACAAAGACACCTACTTTATCAAGTATATATCTTTCTCAGCTTTAGATAGAGTCCATAGACAGATATAAAGCTTTAAAAACTTCTCTCAGTGAGATCGACACCAGGAATATCAAAGAGGGCAAAACAGGACCCCACAATTAAAGGAGAACTAAACAAATGCAAAAAAGTATTCTACTGACTGAGAGAAACGGGTTAACTGAAAAGACGAGAGTGTTTCAAGAGTGAAGGTTAATTTATACCGAAACACACATCACAGTTCTGACAATGGCAAAGATTTCATTAGTGCAAATAACAATTATAATGGTATGTTCTTTAATAGGATTTAAATAAGGCTTCAAATAATTATATACTCTAAAACTAACATTTGGAAACCTTAACTCTGTTCGGGAAGCTACCAAACACACCCTCCAAACCCTCCAATATTTGCTGATTCAAGCACAATTACATTCAATGAAGCTGCTCCAAAACACAATTTGTAGCATTACTTTCAAAGTTTACATTGTTTGGTGGAAAAAGTGGGAAGCTATTCTGGACCATGGTCAGAAAGAAAGAAATTCAACCAACATGCCAGGTAGTTCCCAGGTACTTATAATTAGCAAATATCCATAGTTATGAAAAGTCATTAGAAAAATAAAGACAGAAGCAAAACAAAAATATAATAGAACCTTAAGTATCAGAAAGAGATTTGTTTCCTAAGATCCATTAACAAATTTGCACAGAGTATGAAAGAAAAAAAGCAAGAAGATTCATGGGCATTTCCATCTAGGGCTCAAGTTCTCCTTTAAACAAACAACGCAAAAACAGAACAAACAAAATTACATGATGAGAACTAAAAAACATAAACAGCAAAACCAGAGGCAGAATATGAAATAGTAATATACTGTTTCAGGGCCTGCACTATCCTTTAGAACCAGAAAATTTAAAATTTGTTCTTAACAAATCCAATCGAAGCTGGATATGTAAAAAACGGAAAGACAGAATCACCAACCACACTATATAGGAGAGTTTTAGAACCGGGAAGGGGACAAATAAAATCAGCAAAACACTCAGAAAAATTTATCATCAATTCTGAAATGGGGCCTGGTGACGTCATCGGGATTAATGAAGACCGAGATGGACTTCCCCGGATTCTCAGTCACCAGCTGCTGCAGTTTTTTGGCCAAGCGGTCATCAGGCTGGTTGGGGTCCCCTCCATCGGACTGTGGGGAGGGGATGCTGGTGGTGCTCCCTCGCCGCTGCAGCTCCAGGGTCAGTCGGTTGGCCGCCTTGACGTGCTCGATGGCCGTGCGCAAGTGCTCTGCAGGGTCTGAGCGCACAGAGGACAGCTTCCGGGCGTGGAGCACGACCGTCTCCTCCGACAGGTGCTCCAGCATGTTGCACTGAGGGATGAAGTAATTGGGGCACATCTTGTTGACCAGGCAGTGCTGCAGGTCATCAATGAGGCCCAGCAAAAAGTGGGCTGCATAGTCTTCTTGAGCCAAGTAGTTAGCAGGAAGTCTGTCACAGGCCCAGAGCATCATGCTCCGCAGGTGATAGGGACTAATCGCCTTGGGCCGGGACAGCAGTTTAATGATGATGGCTTTGCAGGCCTGGTAGGCCTGCATGAGACTGCCGGAGATGCACTTCTTCAGCTGCACCTCGCTCCGGGCAAAGGACAGCCGCCACTCATTGTCCTTCTTACCCTTGTAGGAGCAAGCGGGGACCAGGTAAAACCCACTGATGACCTCCTCCTCCGTAATCTTCCCGTCCCAAAAGTGGTTCTCCATAAGCCAGCTCTGGGCCACTGCGGGCCAGCCTTTGAAAGACACCACGGGGACGATATCGTACAACATGCGACTGCTCCCCACCCCCAGGATGATGGAGATAATGGTCCCGTTCTTCTCCACCTTTTCCACCTTTGGCATCCCTCGCTGGGGCTTCTTCTGGACCTCTGAGAGGACGATGCTGATGGAGTCGTAGAACCAGTCAGCCACTTTGGTGGGGGAGAAGAAGTAGTTGGTGGCACCATTGATATGGTCGACAATGGTGCAGCAGTCTTTCCACTTGCTGATTGTCCCCTCATCGAAGAGCCTCAGGCTCAGCCAGGAGTGGCACAAGGCTGAGTGGCGCATGTCGAGAGTCACAGGCTGATTACGGTCATGCAGCTTCAGGGCTGGCACCAGAAGGGTAAAGTCCATGTCATAGTCCGTGCCCCGGGCATAGACATTCAACTCGTCTAAGTCAAGATCCACCACACCTTCCCGGACTCCTCCAGAGAGCAACAGGTACTCATTAGCCACCGGAAGTTTTTGGTCCAGTTTTTGCACCATTCCTAGAAGAAAAAAAAAGAAAAGAGTACACACTATTATAGGAAGCGGAGATGCAAGAGTCTTACACATTAACACAGAACACTCTGACCTCCCCAAGAACCGAGTTCACTACGGTATAAAGCCAACCTCAGGCTGCTGCACTGCTAAGGATATTTTGTTCTTTTTTGCAAGCACTAGAACAAGTGGAAGGGTCATGACAGATTTTTCTTACAGAGCGAAAAGGAATGTCCTTTTTGATTACAAACCAGGGTGCCTCTTCCTCTGGTCATTGCCTCGATTAACAATATTGCCTTGGTCACCCCTGCTGAAAACTTCTTAAGCTTCGACTTTTCCTTGCTCTTCTCTCAAATCTTATCTAAACGCCCTCTGCTAGGCTTCTTGCTGCTTCTCTATGCTCTGTCTCCACTGCCACTGTATGGACTCAGGCCCTTTCTTCCTCCTGCAAAAGCAGTCAGGCTCCCCAGGGTCTTCCCCACTTAAACTCTTCCCTATGTCAGCAGCTCTCCATAGCGGCTGCAGACATTTTTGAGGGGCAGTGAAGTTCTTTCTAAACTCTTCATCATAACACTAACACATTCTTCGACCTTTCGGATGTGTTAACACTGGCTCCCATGGCAAGAAACACTGGAGGATAAAACTCTCGCATAAGGCAGTGGTGACAAGTAGTGGATTCTTCACTTCGGACATCCACTAGCAATGAAAAAAACATCCAGATTCACTTAAGAAAATCCCTGATGGAGAAGAAAAATGATTCCTTGTATTAAACCTCAAGCTATGAGCTACCTTTATAGCAGCGTTGTTAGTGTGCAATAGGAAGTATTCCTAAAGCAGGGCTTTCATAGTGAAATATGGAAAATGATTTCAGGAAAAGCACTCATATATCTGAGTTGTGGCCTGAACTTGCTGCTATGTTCATGGGTCTTATTGCTACTTTAAAGAACAACTCGAGAGCTATGGTTATTCAGGATTGGGTATTTGGCATTCATTCTGTTTTAAAATGAACAAAATGGGCTTGGCCTCAAGGAAACAACTGATAATATTTATCGCCAATGAGATGATAAAGACTTTCAACAGAGGGCCAGGGATTTAGCTCAGTGGTTCCACCACCTGCCTTGCAAGTGCAAGGACCCGAGTTCGATCCCTGGTACCAAAAAAAAAGAAGACTTTCAACAGAAAATTAAATTTGAGAAATGCATACCCTGAACAATGAGTTTGACATCATCCTTCCCAATTCTATACACCTCTGACGAGCCTGGTGGTGATCTTAACAAACGTAACTCTTTGGTGAGACTGAGTCCTCTGAAGCATGAAGCATGGCCCAAATGGATATTAAGTATGTATAGGGCCTGCATGCAGTAGGCACACAAGTGAAGCTGGGAGTAAATGATGAAGAAATCAATGGATGAAATTAATATAAGTACCTAAGAGTGGGCTTAAATGACTGTCCCACAAGAAAACATACAAATGTACATTCCCTAACTCCTTTTTATTGTGTGATTACTTATGCTTCTTTATCTTTTTTTGTTTTGTTTTGTTTTTTTGGTACTGGGGATCGAACTTGGATACTTGCACTTGTGAGGCAGGCGGCGGAACCAATGAGCTAAATCCCCAGCCCAATGCTTCTTTATCTTATAAATTACTAGCACTACTGTTTGTGATTTACTTAACAGCTTTCCCCCAAAGATCTCAAAGAACTAACACAAACTAATGTTCCATCATCCACTGCAATTATGTTCCATCAACAGAGTTTGTTGTGCAGAGAACAAATCTCAAAACAAATAAATCAACCATTGCTATGGCTGGAATATGGTTCATTGCTCTAAAACTCATGCTGGAGTTGAATCTTCATTGTGAGGTATTAAGTGGGTAGAAAACAACTGCAAGTGTTTAGAAGTGGGGCCTTTGGAAGGCAATTAGGATTAGATCAGGTCTGCAGGGCAGAACCCTCATAACTGAATACAGATGACTTTTTAAGAAGAGAGAAAGGGACCAAAGGAGATTCACACGTGTGCCTCCTGTCTGTCACCATGCAATGCTGTGCTCCTCCCTGGCACTCTGCTGGCAAGAAGGCCACCATCATATGCACCCCTCCATCTTAGACCTCCAGAACTGTACAACGAAATAAACCTCTTCTTTTTTATTACTTAGTCTGTGGTACTGTGTTATGAGCAACAGAAAATGGATTAAAATAACCATGTACGCGCATTAAGCCATCATCATTGTTATAGGGTGAATGTTTGTGTCCCTCCAAAATTTATATGTAGAAATCCTAACTTCCAATATTACGGTGGTAGGATGCTGGGCGTTTGGTAGGGAATTGGGTCATTAGGGTGGAGCCCTTTGGAGTGACCTTACTGTCCTTATAAAAGAGGCCCCAGGGAGCTTCCTCACCCCTTCTGCCTTGTGAGGACACAGTGAGAAGACTACCAAGTGGCTTACAAACCAGGAAGCAGCCCCTCACTGGATACCAAATCTGTTGGTGCTTTGATCTTGGGCTTCCTAGCTTCCAAAACAAAGATTCCTGTTGTTTATAAGCTGTCTAGTCTATGGTACTTATAACAGCTTGAAGGAATTGTGATTCAAAATTTAACACACATTAATAAAAATGTGTTCTTTTTCATTCTTTAAAATCCTCTTTTCCAACCTGCATTAACCATGAACAAGCACTTTATTTAGTATTTTCTTTCATACAGATAGGAATATGGTAGGCTATCACTTTCTTTTTAAAGCCAACAATGAGTTGTTCAGTATGGTCGCGTTAACAATTCACGAGAAAGAGAATCCTGAGAACCTGGTTGCTTGGGCCGAAGCACTTGCCGGGTTATAGTGATGCTTTTGATTCCCTGTCAGTAAAAGATTCATTCCAACTTTGGGGACTGCTGCCCCTTGAGGACTGGGCTCAGCTTCGAGGAGCTGTCTTAACCAAGGTCATGACGTATGGCTGGGGTGGGAGTCGGGGGTGCCCATCCAGCAGGTGACCAGGCTGGCAGTGTCCTAGCCCAGGGTCCTGGAAAGTGCCATTCCAACCCAGGGTCCCTACCAGGGTCACCAGAGGCTGATGCTGGGCTTATAGTGCAACTCAACTTTCACTTACTACTGCTTCCTTCTCTTTCTATAGATGCAGACACCAGGGATTCTCCTTTGTAAATATCCTAACTCCATCTCATTTCCTACAGAACCCAACCTAAGACACTACACATTACCCAAGCACAAACCACCTTCACTATGAACCAAGCATGGAAAATTTAGTTTCCATTTGAAAATGTTTTTTAAAGGCCAAACTTAGCAAGCAGGATGGAAAGTTATTGAAAACATCAGGACAAAGATCCATTTTTAGATGGCCGCCTCATCTTTGCATTGTAAGAAGTACTGCCACCCCAACTCCTAGCTGTAGCTATAAAGGGATGCAGTTGACTTCTCAGTTTCAAGAAAGCCGTCAAAATAACTTTATTTCGTGGACTCATATATAGTTACATTCAAAAAAGGGATATATTAATTTACACCTCATTGTTTAAAAATTCTTTCCTTCTAGCCATGAATGTAAACAGAAAATAATGAAATGTTATGTTGTGCTTAGTAAAGATCTGAAATAATTAAAGTGCTGTTATTGCTATCTGGGTGCTAGATTGTCTCCTCTAAAGTATAAATAACTCAGAATTATTTCTGTCCTTTTGTCCTAGACAGGAACACACCAGCCAGGACCCATCTATACAACCAGAGGAACGTGGACATTAATATCCTGTAGGTAGTTTGTCTACAGTCTTGCTGAACTTTGCCTTGGATTGTCCCAATTTTGTTAGAGTAGTCCTAGGTCAGAAACAGTTTGAACTCCCTTCTGCCCTCTGGTGGATTAGAGAAGCTTTAACCTATTTTTACTTGTTAGTACACACTCCGGAACATTTATGCCAATGCTAAAATATTCTCTTTCCTCCCAACTGCTTCTTATGCACCTTGTTAAAACGTTAACTCTTCTTTCCAAAGAGCCAAAATAAAGTATTTGGCTAAATTCTAGTATTCAAGAGTTAGGGTAATTTTGGATGCTTCCTATTCCCTTTAAAGCACAGAAAGAACTTCAGCAGCAGAGAGAACATAGCAGGGGCTCCTGTACCAAGCTCCCAGAAGTTATAAACAAGCCCCTTAGGCCACATTATTCCAGAAGCGAATCCCTTATGACATCCACATTTCTATTGGGCCTTCCTGAGCAAGACCAGTCTTCTGCAGCTTTATTAATGATTTGATAAAATGAACTGGATCATATAAAATGTCCTCCTTAAAAATTTTCCTGGGCTGTTTCAGTGAAAAGGAGCTGACATGAGCTATCATGGTACATGGGCTGTCATGTGTCTAACGCAGTCAAGGGCTGGGAGAGAAAAGACAGAGGAGGAGGGGATTTTGACTGTATACTTGGGGTGTAGAGATAAGTTTCAATGAGTCCCATATGTGACCTGATTCAAGGTTTGGGGGTAATTATGGGAGGGTAAGATCAAGTGACTCTGACCCTTATGTTATCCAAAGCCAGCAGTGTGAACAAACAGAAAACGTACACACATGCACACACACACACACACACACACACACACACACACCACTGAATTTGAAAACAGCAAAGAAAAGGAGGAGTGGAGAAGCAGGAGAAGCAGCTCCTTCCCCTGGTTACATCTCTTCTTTTTAAGGAAGCATTATGTTTGCTCTTTAAAAATCTCTGCAGCAAAACTACTTGCCTACAATTCCCCACTCCCTGCTTTCGATTTATTTCATAGTTTCTACTTGACAATCTTTGATATAGTGGGGTCTCAAGTTTGAGGAACGTGTTCCATGTCATCCCCTTAGTTCATGCTGACTCTTTTTAAAACATCAAGTGGAAAAACAGAACTCTGTCCCTGACTCCCTTATGCTTTAGTTTATAACATTTTATCATAATCCACTGAATTCAAATTACTAATCTCCATCACTCAACACATAATCAGAGCACAGGACTTAAACCTCGTACTTTATCTTCTGT